TCATGCATCATAAATTACTTTTTCTGGGGTTTAGGACGCTAATTTCAGATACATTTACTTCACTTTTCATCCCAGTGGAGAATTCTATTATGCTTTAGTCTCTCTTCCCTTAACAATCCTATACAAACCCTTTCCAATGAACAGGACTAAATCTAGCATAGCCTGTCACTGCTTTGTTTTGAATACTACGTTCAAAATCTTGTAAAGATTCCAATAATTAATCCAACGTAGTATTATTGGTAATGTGGTTTGACCAGTCCGTATGTAGATTAGAGTCCCTCGTGATCACCGTTATCACATGCCTTTCTAATTTCCTGTTCAGTGCCATTCCCTGCTTTACTCTTGGGGGGGGCATGTAGACAGTTCCTACTAAAGTTTACTGCCCTTTGTTACTTCTGAGCTCCAGATTAATTCTATGTCTAGAGTTTGATTTAATGTCCTCTCACTTGTACTGATTTCATCCATTTCTAACTATGCTACCCCACCCCTCATTCCTTTTGTCTCACTTTCGTAAATATCGAATATCCTTCGATATTTTCAGTTTCCAGCTTTAGTCAACTTGAGGCCATTTCTCCATGATCACAATCATGTCATATCCATTTACAACTATTTGTGCTGTTAATTTGTCCACATTATTGAAAATGTTATGTACATTCAGATGTATTACCTTTATGTTTGCTTTTTTAACATATTTACGCATTATTTTTGTACTACGGCCCTATTTGTTGCTAGCACTTCTTTCCACTGCCTTCCACTTTTGCTATCGACACTTCTGTCTTTCATTTATGTTCCCCTCTTGAGTTTCCCCTTTTATTTCCCACCACTCTAGCTTAAAGCTGTCTCCATAGTACCAGAAAATGCCACTGCAAGGATATTGATACTGATCCTGCAGGGATGCAACCCATCCAACTCGCAAATGTGCCAACTTCCCCAAGTTAGTCCCAATGCCGCAGGAATCTGAATCACTCCCTCCTATGCTATCTTTTCAGTTACGCATTCGTCCAGTCTGTTCTAGCATTCTTGATCTTGCTAGCACGTGGCATTCTGGATAGTCCTGAGATTACTATCTTTGGAGTCTTGCCATTTCATTTAATTCCCAGTTTGCTACGCTCTGCTTTCAGGGCTTCATCCTTTTTACCCATGTGACTCAAATGGACCAGGAATTCTGGCAGTTGATGCTCTCTCTTCAGAATATCTTGCAGCTGTTCACTGACATTTTTAAACATTTTATCTGTTCCCCTTGTAATAGTGATAGGGGATTCTATTATTTTAGCACCTTCTCAGAGAGTGAAATGGACCCAGAGGACTTCTGCATAACCTGTCTAGTGCTTTTACTGTGTCTGGTGGTCACCTGTTCCCTCTCTTTGCACTCTTTAACTATGATGTGAGCACCTTGCTATCCGTTAAGATCTCAGCCTTGCGGATGCTCTGTCACTGCTGCAGGTTGAAAAAGCAGATTTCAAGTGGCTTGCATCTGAAGTCACTTTTTGTGGTGGTGTACTTGGTCACCATGAACACTGTAATGCCCTTGACTTTCCATGTGGTATAGGAGGTACATTCAACATGGCTGACCTGCTTTGCCTTAAGTTGTTCCCTTTATGTTTTCTTCCTCATGGTTGAAGAATATTAGATGGATTAGGGGTCTTGCTTTACCATTTACCTTTTAAACACTGCTTAATCTGAATGGAATACCAATTTGCACTTTAAAGACCAGAAAGTATAATTACCTGGTTCTACCACGGTCGCTGCTCCTTTTGCACTAGCTCCGGTACTATCTGGATCAACTTATGTTTATCCTGTGGTGTCACTTTGCATGTTTTCAGAAATCAACTGTCTTGTGCAGCTTCTTCATGGCGTGACCAATAAGTGTCCTGTTTACTTGTGATGTCGTTTTATTTTTCATTCAAGTACGACCATCTCTCAGACTTTACACCAGCTCTCGGTTGAATCCCCCTCTCGTGCTGTTTTCAAGTTCTTGGGAATTTTCCCTGTTGTGATGTTTTCAAGCATCTTCATGTTAATTGGGTGTTCACAGAATTCAAAATTTTCTTGAGCTCCTAGTTTCAGGAGTGGAAAGGTATCCTATTCTCCATTAGAACTAGGAGAATGTTTTCTGATCTTTGTTAGTTGAATATATGCTTTAATTTTAGATGGTAGGAGGAAGCCATTTGGCAGTTAACTGACATCAAAACAAATTTGGTTGAGGCCTTAACAGAAAGAGGAAGACAGTAAAGTGAAGTTATTCCCCCCTCCTGCCAACCTATTCAACGTGTTTCTGCCATCCTGTGGGTGTACTTGCTACTTATTTCATAGAGTCATAGAGATGTATAGCATGAAAACAGACCTTTCGCTCCAACTCGTCCATGCTGACTGGACATCCTATACAAATCTAGTCCCATTTGGCCCGTATCCATCTAAATCTTTCCTGTTCGTATACCCATCCAGATGCCTTTTAAATGTTGTAATCATACCAGCCTTCTCCACTTTCTCTGGCAGCTCATTCCATACATGCACCACCCTTTGCATGAAAAAGTTGCCCCTTAGGTCCCTTTTTATATCTTTCCCCTCTCACCTTAAACCTGTGCCCTCTAGTTTTGGACTCCCACCCTGGGAAAAGGCCTTGCTTATTTACCCTAACAGTGCATTTCATGATTTTATAAACCTGTTTAAGGTCTCCTGTCAGCCTCTGACACTCCAGGGAATATAGCCCCAGTCTATTCACCCTCTCCCTATAGCTCAAACCCTCTAACCCTGGCAATATCTTTGTAAACCTTTTCTGAACTCTTTCAAATTTCACAACATCCTATAGGAGGGAGACCAGAATTGCATGCAATGCACCAAAAAGTGGCCTAACCAATGTCTTGCACAGCCATAACATGATATCCCAACTCCTATACTCAATGCCCTGACCAATAGAGGTGAGCTTACCAAATGCTGCCTTCACTATGCATCTACCTGCAACTCTACTTTCAAGGAACTATGCACCTGCACTATGAACAGATCTTTGTTCAGCAGCACTCCCTAGGACCTTACCATTAAGCATATAAGACCTGCCCTGATTTGACTTTTCAAAATGCACCACCTCAGTGGGGACCTTTCAGCTTTTCATTGCAGGGATGCTAATTGCAGAGTTCAGGTTTGCAAAACTTCTTGTCAGCCACGGTGAAATTGTCCTCTAGCACTGGCAGTGTGTACATGTCCTGTTGTCAAACTGTCATTGATATTATGCTTAGACATAGATATCACGTCATAAATTTCTCCAATTAAGTAGTGGAAAGATTAAAGCTATCCTGCTCACCATCTGCTTGGATGCTGATTCCACTATGTTTGGCTGTTTATTCAAGCAGAGTCAAATGACAAATCTTCTGTGAATTGTTTGATCTTGTGTAAGCAAATCCCACTTACTTTTACCTCCCTGTTTGAGCATTTACTAAATCCTGCTGTTTTGCTCCTCTCCTGCACGAATGAGATGCTCAAACTTGGCAGTTTCTTGAGCTTTTCTTCCTCATAAAGTTGCTTTCGATTTCTACATTAAACACTCTACAAGTATGATTTGATCCCCTTATGAGCGTGACAGTCTCTTCACAATGTCTTCAAGGAAGCTTCTGTGACTGACCTTCCATTGGTCACTGGTTAATTCTTTACATTTTTATCTTGTTTCCCACATATCTTGATTTATAGTGTTATCTTTTGAGTGCTTGCTGTAGAGCATTAGTTTGAACAATTGTCTTCTGACAAACAGTACTGTTGCATTTGAGGGCTAATTGACTTTCACCTGCTGCAGCTTAGTCTTATAAACCCTTTACTCTAATAAAACATCCCTGAGGGCTTTGCAGGAGCATAACAAAATATATGACACTGGGCCACAAAATATATTAGGTCAAAAAGTTGAGTTTTAAGGTGTAGCTTATAGGAAGAAAGTGAGGTAGGGAGCAATTCTAGAGCTTAGAGCTAAGATCTAAGCAGAAAAAGCCACAGCTGCCAAAAATTGATTAAAATTGGGGGTGCCCAAAGTCCAGAACTAGTTGAGAGCAAATACCTCCGTTACGGCACTCTGAGAGATTACACAGCTAGGAAAGGGAGAGGCCATTTGAAAACATGGCTGAGAATTTTAAAATCCACAAGTTGCTTGATGGAGAGTCAGTGTATGCCTAGAGCTAATGGGAGAACAAGACTTGTCGCAGCAGTATTGGATGATATCATAAATACTTACAGAATCCCTACAGTGTGGAAGCAGGCAATTTGGCCCAGCGGGTCCACACCGACCCACGAAAAAGCATCCCACCCTGAGCCACCCCTTACCCTATCCCTGCGTTTCCCACCCTAGCCATTATGTGCAATTTAACACAGCCAATCCACCTAAACTGTACATCTTTGGCCTGTGGGAGGAAACCGGAACACCCAGAGGAAACACATGCAAACTCCATACAGACAGTTGCTTGTGGTTGGAATCGAACTTAGGTCCCTGGCGCTGTGAGGCAGCAGTGCTAACCACTGTGCCACCTGTGAATATCAGCAGGCATGTATTGGAATAGTTGAATCTAAAGTTATTGAAGACACGGATGAGGATTACAGCAGCAAATATTGCTGAGACTGGTGAAATTTTGTGACAGAGATGGAAGTAGTGGTCTTTGTGATTGTGTGAATGAGGTCAGAAGTTCATCTCAGGATCAGATATTGCACCAAGCTTATGAACAGACTGATTTTGTCTTAGACTGTTGTCAGGGAGAGGGATGGAGTCAATAGCTAGAAAACATAGTTTTGGTACTCTTTGTATTTATTTGAAGGAAATTTCTGTTATCCATATTGGATGTTGGATAAGTAGTATGATAATTTAGTAATAGTGGAGAGGTCAAGAGAATTCAGGGTGAAACTGAACTCTGGTTTCACCAGCATACACAGTTTGAACAGTTAGTTTCCATTTGAGTGCGGGTATCAGAAACTAGTGAGTGTTTCAATGTTTTCCTTTGTTCTAAATTGAATTTTTTTTTACAGGTTTTGTACAGGTTGCATTATCAAAGAGATTTGAGGTGATAAGTGGAAATCAAACATGCTTGCTGGCTGAATTCTCAGCCAACTTTTCTGTCAGCTATGAAACCACAGCTAAAAAGGGGGTAAGTAAAATAATTGCTTCCATAGTGTAGTACGAAGTCTCAGTCAAGCAGGTGAATGATTAAAATTCACCTCTAGTCACCACCCATGCAAGATATAGCAAAAATATACTTGAATAAAAAGGAAATTAATTTGATTCTTGTCAGTTCTAACATTGATATGGAGCAATCTTCTGTGTTTTTAGAATATGAAATTGGACTTTAACCCCTGGATAATGTTTAAAATCTAGTACTTAGATTGCAATTCAACTAGTTGAAATACCCTTTGACTTGCTGAGCTATTTGTGTTTACTATTCAATTAGTGAAGCTGTCCCCAGTTATTTAGTGCTTTTTTTTTGAAATATTGACAGGAACAATGACTGGCTACAGAGAGCCAAATGAGGGGCCTATGATATTGGTGGATAGCTCATTGTAATGTGAAAGTTGACTCTTCTAATTCATATATGTTAAAACAAAGTAATAGAGCGTGGAAAGAGGTCATTCAGAGTCCATTCTTTCAAAGGGCAATACAGTTAGTCATAAGGATCTATCTTTCTGTCATAATGTGCAATTTTTATTTTTCATTTCCTTTACCTGATTTCCTCATACTGAATCCGTTCAAACTCTTGCCAGTGCATTCCAAATTTTAATCCGTTCACTTTAAATTTGTGCTCTGGTCATTAACCATTCAGCTGTCTCTTTATTTGCTCTTATCCGAGCCCATTACAATTTTAAACCCCATTAACAAAATCTGCTCTTGGCCTTCTCTGCGCTTAAGAATACCAATTGCACTTTCTTCAATCTGTTTATAAAACTGGAATCTTTCATCCCTAGATTAATTCAAATGAATCTTTCTGTCTCCAATGCCTTTTGTGTCCTTTATGAAGTGTGGTGCCCAGAATTGGACCAAGTAGTTCGTCGTAACCTCCTGCCTTTTCTGTGCCTTATAAACCAAGGCCCAGTGTGCTTTATTAATTGCTTTGTTATCTTTGAAGGTGAATCTGGGCAAAACCTGGGTTTTGATACACCTGTGACCAGTTCAAAATGTTGCTCCACAACGTGAATCTCCAGGGATTGGAAATTGTGCAGTGGAGGGCAGCCAAACAATGAGGTTATGCTGTATGAAATGCTGGTTAGGCCACCAAAGACTGCAGTGTGCATGGTGATGGCCTAATGGTATTATTGCTGGACTATTAATCTAGAGACCCAGGCAGTGTTCTGGGGACCTGGGTTTGAATCCTGCCATGGAAGATGGTGGAATTTGAATTCAATAAAATATCTGGAATTAAGAGTCTAACGATGACCATAAATCCATTGCCAATTGTCGGAAAAACCCATCTTGTCCATTAATGCCCTTTAGGGAAGGAAACTGCCATCTTTACCTGGTGTGGTCTACATGTGACTCCGGACCCACAGCAATGTGGTTGACTCTTAACTGCCCTCTGGGCAATTAGGGATGGGCAATAAATGCTGCCTGGCCAGTGAGGCCCTCATCCTGTGAATGAATAAAGAAAAAAAGATCTGGTCACACATTACAGGAAGAATGTAATTGCACTAGAGAGGGTGCAGAGGAGATTCATTGAGATGCTGCCTTGGCTGAAGGGTCTGAGCTATGAGGAAAGACTGCATAGGCTGGGTGTTTTCATCGGACCAGCAAAGTTTGAAGGAGGATCTGATAGAAGTAGAACAAGATAAAGGTACAATCATAGGATGAATAGGAAAACACTTTTCCCATTAGTAGGGGGCATAGACAGATAAGAAGTAGAAGGTAAAGAGGAGAATTGAGACTTTTTTTTCCCACTGAGGGTGTTGGTGTTGAGATCTGAAAGGGTGGTAGAGCCAGAAACTCTCAAACATTTAAGCAGTGTTTGTATATTCACTTGAGTTGCTGTAATCTACAGGGCAATAGGCCAAAAACTGGAAAACAACATTAATCCAGTCAAATCTTTGTGGCCGCACTAATGTTGCCACAGTGCGCCGAATGGCCTCCTGTGCTGCAAGTGCCAATGAGATTGAGAGAGAAGTAAGGAAAAAGAATTTTAAAAAATCTTAAAGAAAGACCTTTGCATACTTGAGAGTAAATTTTCAGGGCCAGTCAGGTTGTTTAGCAATATTGGAATTGTTTTTTTAAAAAAAAATTCAACGGCCAGAGTATACTGGGGAGGCAATGGCCTAGTGGTATTATCGCTAGACTGTTAATCCAGAGACCCAGGTAATGTTCTGGGGACCTGGGTTCGAATCCTGCCATGGCAGATGGTGGAATTTGGATTCAATAAATATCTGGAATTAAGAGTCTAATGATGACCATGAATCCATTGTCGATTGTCAGAAAAACCCATCTGATTCACTAATGTCTTTTAGGGAAGGAAAATACCATCCTTACTTGGTTTGGCCTAGTTGTGACTCCAGACCCACAGCAATGTGGTTGACTCAACTGCCTTCTGGGCAATTAGGGATGGGCAATAAATGCTGCCTAGCCAGCAACACCCTCATCCCATGAATGAATAAAAAAGGACCCTGCATGTTTGGTAGTATCTGGTGGGTATGCACGACAATTCCATGCTTTTGCGTGTCTGATCACCAAGTCCATTGGTGAGATGGTGTTTGAACGTAACTTATAGCAAGTTGAACAACAGCTTCTGAAGTTAACTTTTGTCATATTTGAATGCTAGGGGTTGCAGTCCGGCAAACTCTTCAGTAATGGTAATGTACTGCCTACTGGAATTGTTTTAAGATTATTGTTAAAATTTTCCACAAAGCTGCAACTTTGCCTTGCCTAATTACCTCTGGTCTGCTGCAAGGGAATCTGATCAGACTTGTGTAACAGCAAAATGTGATAGTGAAGTGAGACTACAGTCTTACAGTGCCTCAGCTGCCTGTTGTGCATGATTTCCATTGTAATCATAGGTAGGGAAGGCAGCCACCAGAACACTATTTCTGAACAACCAATCTATCTTTCTTTAGTGCAGTGTAGTCACATATTAGCATTGGAAGTTCTTCATGGATGACTGTTTGTGACCTGGGTTTCTAAATTCTAATCTCTGAGGGAGCTGTAACAGGTTTTACTTTAGAAGGCTCCTTAAGCATGAAACTTACTATATCTCATCTTTGAACATTTAAATCTTAAAGATGTGAAATTTAATACCGTAACGCTGCTTCATGCCATTAGTGTAGTATGATGAGTAGTCCACCTCAAATATGCCTGCTTCCACATTGTCATTCAGTAAGACCGTAAAGACACAGGAGCAAAAGTAGGCCATTTAACACATCGAGTCTGCTTTGTCATTGATTGAGATTATGGATGATCTGAATTCTCAATTCAATTTAACAGCCTTATCTGTAAAACCTTTGATTCCCTTCACGAACAAAAACCAAGTGGCTGGAAAAGCTCAGCAGGTCTGGCAGCATCTGTGGAGGAGAAAACAGAGTTAACGTTTCGGGTCCGGTGACCCTTCCTCAGAACTGATGGTGGCTGGGAAAACATCAGTTTATATGCAGAAAATAGGGAGGTGGGTGGGGTAGGGAGTAAACGATAGGATAGAGCCCAGAGAGAGAGACAGTTGGACAGACAAAGGAGTTGCTAATGATCAGGCTAGGAGGGTGAGTAGTTGTTAATGGGGACTGTTAGTGACTAACAACAGGGGGTGTGTAGTGGCAGGCTATATGGTAACGAGGCCTGGTGTGTGGGGTGGGGGGGTGGGGGGCTGGGACATGGGAGAGTTTAGGCCCTAAAATTATTGATCTCTATTGAGTCTGGAGGTCTGTAGGGTCCTCAAGCGGAAAATGAGGTGTTGTTCCTCCAGTTTGCGTTGGGCTTCACTGGAACACTATAGCAAGCCAGAGACAGAGATGTTGGCCAGGGAGCAAGGTGGTGCATTGAAGTGGCCGGCAACAGATAGTTCAGGGTCTTTTTTGCGAGCAGAATGTAGATGTTCTGCGAAGCAGTCGCCAAGTCTACGCTTCGTTTCCCCAATGTAGAGGACCTACTGAGCTTTTCCAGCAACTTTGTTTTTGTTCCTGATTTACAGCATCTGCAGTTCTTTTGGTTTTTCTTTGATTCCATTATTGATTAGAAATCTATTTCAGCCTTCAATGTACTTAACAATCCAGCCTCGATAACCAAACAGTCTGTTTGCCTTCACTATTACCTGCTGAACTTGGATAGCAGCTTTTCATGACTCATTTAATAGGATCTGTGCTGTTGCTTTTTGTAGGTTCCCTCTATTTAAATAATATTCAGTTCTTCTTTCCTTCCTGCCTAACTGCATAACCTTATTATATCCCACATTATATTCCATCAGCCAAGCTTCTGCCTGTGCACTTAACCTCTCTATACCCAATGTACACTTCTTGCCTTTCCACTTGTTATTGTGTATTCTGTAAACTTGGCAATAATATATTCACTTCTGTCATCCAAGGTTTGTATATTGTAAATTGTTGCCCCAACACTGATCCTTCTGGCACTCCTAGTTACAGGTTGCCATTCTGAAAATGCCCCATGTATCCTAACTCTTGGTCTTCCATTAGATAACTAATCATCTTTCCATGCAAATATGCTACCTCCCCCAAAACAATAGGGTCTTATTAAGTAACTTCATATGCAGTATCTTTTGAACATGCAAATGTATTACATCTGCTAGTTTTCCTTCATCTAACACACTTGTTACCTCGACTGTAAAAATATTTGTCAGGCATGTTTGCCCCTTCATAAAACAGTGCTGACTCTGCTTGGTTATATTATGCATTTCTAAATGTTCTGCTGTTACATTCTTTATAATAAACTAGAACACTATACCTTTGTTTCATTCCCTTCATAGCCAGAACATTTTTCCTCAGATAAAGAGACTAAAACTATATACTGTATCCAAGTGTGGTACTCACAAAGGCCCTGTGCAATTGCAGCAAGACATCCCTGCTGCTGTACTCAAATCCTCTTGCTATGAAAGCCAACATTAATTTCACTGCATGGCACATCTGCGTGCTTACTTTCAGCAGTTGACATGCAAGGACACCCAGGTTCCATACTTCCCACTTTTGCAATCTTTCATCATTCCGAAAGTGTTCCTGTATTAGTTACCAAAGTGGAAGGCTTTACGTTTATCCACATTATACTTCATTGGCTGTGCATACGCCCACTCACTTGCCCAAATCACACTGAAGCATCTCTGCATTCTCCTTACAATTCACCCTGCCAACCAGTTGTGTTGTCTACAAACCTGGAAGTATTTCATTTAGATCTTCCATGTAAGTCATTAACATACATTGTGAATAGTTGGAGTCCTGGCATTAATCCCTGTGGTACCCCACTATTTACTGCCTGCCACTTGCAAAAATGACCCTTTTATTTCTACTGTTTGTTACCTGTCTGCTAAACAGTTCTCTATCCATGTCAGTACACTACCTCCAGTCCAATGTGATTTAATTTTACATGCTAATCTCTTATGTGGGGCCTTACTGAAAGCCTTCTGAAAATCTAAATAAACCATATCCATTGGCTCTCCTTAACAACGCTTCTAGTTACATCCACTAAAATTTCCAGTGATTTGTCGAGCATAATTTCCTATTTGTAAGTCCATGCTGATTTGCAGTCCTGTCACGTATGGGGTTTTGATTTGAATTGATTCGATTTATTATTGTTCTGTACTGAAATATAGTGAAAAGTATTGTTTTGCGTGCTAGCCTGACAAATCATATCTTGCGTAAGTACATCAGGGTTGCAGCCTCATAGGGGTAGAGAAAGATCAACTTTAATTTGGGAGGACCGTTCATAAGTCTGATATCAGTGGGAAAGAAGCTGTTCTTAATTCTTTAAAGTGAAGTCTTCAGTAGCTGTAGTACATTTCAGTTTTGAATTATGAATTAGGTATTTGAGCAGGTTTAGGAATTAAGATAGTGAATTAATGTTCACTACAAAGTGAGTGTCTAAAAGTTGCTGTAATAGCTTCACAAAGCAGAATGCACGAACATAAATGCACAATGGTGAATGTGTTTTGCCAGCCAAAATTGATTCAGAGAATTGAACTATCATTTATGCAGAACTGTTTGCTGAATAGTTTTAATGTTTGCAGAGTTGTCAAGAATAACTGTTCTTCTGTTCCAGGCCACAGTTTTGTTCTCTCTCCCAGAGGATGCACGTGTAGACAACCGCAGTAATTGTAATAATATGACTGCGCCAGTACTGGTAGTGAGTTTTGGGAATGGTCATTCTCTCAGCATGAACTTCACAAGGCACAATGGATCCTACAAAATGGATGTACTGACTGTTTCTTTCAATGAGAGTGATAACGTACATTTCCCAAATGCAAGTTCTAAAGGTAAGTTAGAGTCTGTATCTGTGGATGCTTCAGAGATCATTGTCTATTGCTAGTTTTGCTGATTGCGACGTGCCTATCAGCTGGGTCAGAGTAGACAATATCCTGATTTCAAAAATTCAGAAGGAAGGGCAGTGGTGTTGGAACAGCATTATAAAGTTGAAATGTCAGATTTAGACACATAGCAAAAGTAGACTGACTCTGGATTGAGCAGTATGGAATGGCAAAATGTCAGTTATGCTACTGAAAGTATATTGTAGATGAAGAGGCTGAGGAATGAAATTTGATGTTTAGACAGTGTGTATTAAGCCTCAAGAATCCTGTCTCTACACAGCAGTAAAAGGCTGTTGAAATTAGTGAGATCACATCAATAGCATTGTATAAAACTTCTGTGTTCTTGTTTGTCATATTGTCTTATGAGGAGAGATTAAGCAGTAGTGCCTCTATTTGGAGTTTAAAAGAATAAGAGGTGATCTTATTGAAACAAGAGGTGTTGATTGATTGTGTGGATGCTGAAAGGTGTTGCCTTGAATGGGGGATATAAAATTAGGCACAGTTTCAGAATAATGAGTCTTCAGGTTGTTCTTTAGAATTCTGTGCAGTAGACAGCTGTAAAAGCTGAGTCATTGAATATGTTCAAGATTGGTGTTTGATCCATAGAGGAATCGAGGATGAAGGAGCACTCAAGAAAATGGAATTAAAGCTGTAGTCAGATCAGCCATGATCTTATTGAATGGCCCATTTCTTACATAAGCAACTATATAGGTTTAAACTAGGAAATTGAGTAAACCTTGCAGGTGCTGATTGGGGCAGTGAAGGACACTGAATCAAGTTCAATAATGTGACTACTTTTTGGGGGGAAAAAAAGACAAGTCATTTTTATCTGAATGGAACATTAGGGTTTGGTAACATTGAGATTTCTAATAATTCTATGAAGTTATTTCTAAATTGCCAATTTGAACATCTTTCCAGGTATTCTGGTAACATTTTCAAGGTCTGCAGATATCAGTGCAAAAATGAACACAACGTACAGGTGTACAAGTGATTCTACTGTACACATGAAAAATGTAAATGTAACTTTGAGTCATGTCCGAATGGAAGCTTTTCCGTCAAATGATAATTTCAGTAAAACTGGTAAGCATATTTACCTTTGACAGATTACGGAAGCTTTCAACTAATGTTTCAGGATGATTGAATTTTTTAATGTATTTATTTACATCCGGAATAACTTTGTTTTTAGAAACTATATGCCATGCTGATATGCCTCCAACTGTACCTAGTACAACGCTAGTTACCACCCTGGCTCCGACAACTGTAACACCTCCGACATCGAATCCAATTCCAGGAGTGTATAATGTCACCAATAGCAACGGCACCTGCCTGCTTGCAAAAATGGGACTACAGATCAACATTACATATACAACCTTACTTAATGAGGTAATCAGCTTCATTCTTGAAGTACAAGTGAGAGTTATTTCTTTGTTCTTAAGTGTTCTTTTGAAAAGAATCACCTTCATAAACTTGGGAATGAATGCGGTATGGTCAAGCTCCAATGTTTGCCTAATTTCATAACAGCATGGGTACTGCATTAGCCATCTTGGGTTTTTTTTTATTCACAGCATGTGAGCATCGCTGGCTAGGCCTGCATTTATTGCTTATCCCTAGTTGCCCTTGATAAGGTGTTGGTGAGCTGCTTGCTTGAACCTATGCAGTGTTTGCGGTGTAGAGCCACCTGTAGTGCTATTAGGGAGTGAATTCCAGAACTCAACAGTGATACTGAAGGAATGGTGGTGTATTTTAAAAAGAGGATGGTGAGTGGCTTGGAGGAGAACTTGCAGCTTGCACTGTTCCTATTTATCTGTTGTCCTGTCCTTCTAAACGTAGTGGTTAGGTGTTTAGAGGGTGCTGTTTAATAAACCATGGTGAATTTCTGCAGTGCATCTTTTTTTGGGGTGTGGGCATTGCCAACTCAACTAGCATTTATTGCCCACCTTGAGTTGCCCTTGAGAAGGTGGTGGTGAGCTGTTTCTTGAACTACTGAAGTCCGTGTGCTGTAGGTAGACCCACAATGTTATTAGGGAGGGGGAGTCCAGGATTTTGGCCCAGCACAGTGAAGGAAAGGTGATTTATAGTTCCAAGTCAAGGCAGTGAGTGGCCTAGGACACTACCCAGAGGAACTTCTGCAGGGATGTCCTGGTGCTGTGATGACTGACCTCCAATAGCCACAACCAACTTCCATTGTGCAAGATATGACTCCAACCAGGGGAGCATTTCTCCCAATTGCCATTAATTTCATTTTTGCTAGCGTTCCTTGGTGCCACGCTTAGTCACATACGGCCTTGATGTCAAGTGCTGTCACTCTCATCTGAATTCTGTAATTCAGCTCTTTTTTTGTTCATATTTGAACTTAGGTTTGTAATGAAGTCAGGTGCTGTGTGGCCTTGGCAGAACCCAAACTGGGCATTACTGAGCAGGTGCTGCTTGATAGCACTACTGATGACATCTTCTATCACTTTACTGATGCTCAAGAGTAGACTGATGTGGTGGTGATTGGCTGGATTGGATTTGTCTTGCTTTTGTGTACAGAATGTACCTGGACAATTTTGTGGAAAGGTATTAGTTTTGTAGCAGTACTGGGACATTTTAGTTAAGGGTGCAATAAATTCTGGAGCGCAGATCTTTTAGTACTGTTGCCAGAATGTTGTCAGGCCCCATTGTTTTGCAATATTCGGAGCCTTCACCTTTTTCTTGATATTACATGGAGTGAATCGAATTGGCTGAAGAACGGCATCTGTGATGCTGGTGACCTCTGGAGGAGGCTAAGATAGATAATTCATTTGGCACTTGTGGCTGAAGATTGTTCCGAATGTTTCAGCCTTATCCTTTGCAAGGATGTGCTGGGCACTTCCATCATTTTGAGGATCAGGGTATTTGTGGAGCAGCCTCCTCCAGTGAGTTGCTTAATTGTCCACCACTATTGGCAACTGGATGTGGCAAGACTACATGCTTGAATCAGATCTGTTGGTTGTGGGATTGCTTAGCTCTGTCACTTGCTGCTTATGCTGTTAGCATGCAAGTAGTCCTGTTTGGTTGCTTCACCGGGTTGATACCTTCATTTTTGAGTTGTCCCAGATGCTGCTGTTCGTATGTCCTGCACTTTTTGATCCATGATTGATCCCCTAGCTGGTGTCAGTGGTAGAGTGGGGGATTACAGATCCTGTTGAGTACAATACTGCTGCTGCTAATGGCCCTACAGCACTTCATAGATACCCAGTCCTGAGAGATGTGTTTGAAATCTGTCCCATTGATAGAGCTGCATATCATGATGGAGGGTATTGTCATGTAAGGTGAAACTTCATCTTCGTGAGGACTATGCAGTGGCCAATCTTAACGATACTGTCATGAGGAAATGTGGCAACAGATTGAGTTTGGGTATGCTTTTCCCCTCACCACCTGGCACAGACCCAGTCTAGCAGCAAAGTCCTTTAGAACCCAACCAGCTCAATCCGTAGTGCTGCTGCTGAACCACTTTTAGTGGTGAATTGGAGGTGCCAGTGTCGGACTGGGGTGGACAAGGTCAGAAATCACACAACACCAGGTTACAGTCCAACAGGTTTATTTGAAAACACAAGCTTTAAGAGCCTCACTCCTTCAGGTGTTAGTGAGAGAGGTAGTATCAGATGCAATTTATAAGTGAAAGACCAAAGGGTCACACCACTGAGGATGTTTAACCAAACCTAAGATGCTGTTAAATCTTTAATCAGTTAGAAGGTTTTAATTGATTAATATGTATATGTAAATCACCGAACTTCTTTCACGTCACTGCCCTGAGAGAACTAAATGTTTTATCAGTTGCCGCTCTTGATGTATCCTCCAAGTATTCAACATAGAGGAGTACTGATTCATTAACTGAGGGAGGATGGTTTATGGTAATCAGGAGGTTTCCTTGCCCATTTTTTGACCTGATGCCATGAGACCTTATTGGGTCCGGAATCACTGTTGAGAACTCCCAAAGCAATTCCCTCCCTACCGTATACCATTCTGCCAACACCTCTGCTGGGCCTGTCCTGTTGGTGTGACAGGACATATCCAGGGATGGTGAAGTTGGTGTCTGGGACATTATCTGTAAGGGATGATTTTGAGTGTGACTGTGTCAGGCTGTTGCTTGACTAGTCTGTGAAACAATGATCCCAATTCTGGCACTAGGTCCCAGATGTTAGTAAGGAGGACTTTGCAGAATCAGCAGGGCTATTTTGCTGCTGCTGTTTCTAGTGCATAGGTTGATGGTAGTTCACCTGGATAAATTTGTTTGTTGAGACTTTGTCAATTGATACAACTGGGTGGCTTGCTGGGCTAGTTCAAAGGTCAGTTGAGAGTCCACATGTAGGCCAGACCACATAAGGAAGCAGATTTCCTTCCCTGAAGAGCATGATTGCTGATTGTCACTTAATGGTTTTGTGGTCATTGTTAGACTCTTAATTCCAGACGCGCTTAGAATTCAAATTCCACCATCTCCTGTGGCAGGATTCAAATCCAGATCCCCAGAGCATTAGAGACAACAAGGTGCAGAGCTGGATGAACACAGCAGGCCAAGCAGCATCATAGCCTAGACCCTTCATCAGAAATGGGGGAGGGGAAGGGGGTTCTGAAATAAATAGGGAGAGAGGGGGAGGCGGATAGAAGATGGATAGAGGAGAAGATAGGTGGAGAGGAAACACAGGTCAAAGAGGCGGGGATGGAGCCAGTAAAGGTGAGTGTAGGTGGGGAGGCAGGGAGGACGGACAGGTCAAGGGGGCGGGATGAGTTTAGTAGGTAGGAGATGAGGTTAGGGCTTGAGGTGGGAGGAAGAACAGGTTAGGGAGGCAGGGACGAGCTGGGCTGGTTTTGGGATGAGGTGGGGGAGGGGAGATTTTGAAGCTTGTGAAATCCACATTGATACCATTAGGCTGCAGGGTTCCCAAGCGGAATATGAGTTGCTGTTCCTGCAACCTTCGGGTGGCATCGTTGTGCCCCAGCTACCTAGAATACACCTCCTCCCACCCACCTTCCTGCAAAAATGCCATCCCGTATTCCCAATTCCTTCGCCTCCGCCGCATCTGCTCCCAGGATGAGGCATTCCACTCCCGTACATCTCAGATGTCCTCGTTTTTCAAGGACCGCAACTCCCCACCCCCCCCAATGGTCGAGAATGCCCTCCACCGTGTCTCCCACATTTCCCGCAACTCATCCCTCACACCGCGTCCCCGCAATAACAACCCAAAAAGAATCCCCCTCGTCCTCACGTACCACCCCACCAACCTCCGGATCCAACGCATCATCCTCCGACACTTCCGCCATCTGCAATCCGACCCCACCACCAAAGACGTTTTTCCCTCCCCACCCTTCTCTGCTTTCTGGAGGGACCACTCTCTCCGTGACTCCCTTGTCCGCTCCACACTCCCCTCCAGCCCCACCACACCCGGCACTTTTCCCTGCAACCGCAGGAAGTGCTACACCTGCCCCCACACCACCTCCCTCACCCCCATCCCAGGCCCCAAGAAGACTTTCCACATCAAGCAGATGTTCACCTGCACATCTGCTAATGTGGTATACTGCATCCGCTGTACCCATTGTGGTCTCCTCTACATTGGGGAAACCAAGCGGAGGCTCGGGGACCGCTTTGCAGAACACCTACGCTCGGTTCGCAATAAACAACTGCACCTCCCAGTCACGAACCATTTCAACTCCCCCTCCCATTCCTCAGACGACATGTCCATCCTGGGCCTCCTGCAGTGCCACAACGATGCCGCCCAAAGGTTGCAGGAACAGCAACTCATATTCCGCTTGGGAACCCTGTAGCCCAATGGTATCAATGTGGATTTCACAAGCTTCAAAATCTCCCCTCCCCCTACCGCATCCCAAAACCAGCCCAGCTCGTCCCCGCCTCCCTAACCAGTTATTCCTCCCACCTATCCCCTCCTCCCACCTCAAGCCCCAACCCCATCTCCTACCTACTAACCTCATCCCGCCCCCTTGACCTGTCCATCCTCCCTGGACTGACCTATCTCCTCCCTACCTCCCCACCTACACTCACCTTTACTGGCTCCATCCCCGCCTCTTTGACCTGTCTGTTTCCTCTCCACCTAGCTTCTCCTCTATCGATCTTCTTTCCACCTCCCCCTCTCTCCCTGTTTATTTCAGAAACCCCTTCCCCCTCCGCCCCCATTTCTGAAGAAGGGTCTAGGCCCGAAACGTCAGCCTTCCTGCTCCTATTATGCTGCTTGGCCTGCTGTGTTCATCCAGCTCTGCACCTTGTTGTCTCAGATTCTCCAGTATCTGCAGTTCCTACTATCTCTGATACAGTTTTATCCCCAGAGCATTAGTTGAGTTTTTGCATTAATAGTTTAGTGATTAATACCATGAGGTCATTGCCTCCACTTAAAGATCTTTGTAGACAA